GCCTCCCAAGTAGCTGGGACTACAGGCACCCGCCACAATGCCTGGCAATTTTCTGGTTGCAGCCATCATTGTTGTTTGGCGGGCCTGGGCTGGGGATTCGAACCTGCCACCTTAGGTGTACGTGGCTGGCGCCCTAGCTGCCCGAGCCACAGGCGCTGAGCCTGTAGTCATTATTTTCTTGATTTTAAAAGAAATGAAAAACTTTGCTTCAAGTGTCATGGTCCCTAGGCCCTGAGCCTTCTGTGAGAAAAGAGAAGCCTCCCTGGTTGCCAATGTGGTCTGATGGTGCTCAGGTCAGACCCCAGGCGACTGGTTCAGATAAGAAGGGGATTCTCTGGAAGGAAGGAAAGTATTAGATTGGGAGCTGAGGAAGCGAGGACCAGGATTAAGGGGAAGTTGCAGAATAGAGGATTAAAAAAAGAGAGGTTGCGGGTTAAATTGTGTCCCACCAAAAGGTTAATGGAAGCCCTAACCCTTGGTACCTGTGAACGTGACCTTGTTTGGACTCTGCAGATGCAATCAAGTTACAATGAGGTCATGCTGAAATTAAAGTGGGCCCCAATCCAATGACCAGTCTTCTTATAAGCAAAGGGGAATTTGGACACAGACATACTAGAAAGAAGACCACATGCGGACAGAGGCAGAGATTAGGGAGAGGCAGTGTTACGACGCTAAGGAACCCCACAAATCGCAGGTGGCCCCCAGAAGCTAGGAGAGGTGCGTGAAACAGATCTTCGTTCTGACTTCCCAGAAGGAACCAACTCTGCCTACAACACCTTGATATCCAAATTCCGGTTTCCGGAACTGTGAGAGACTAAATTTCTGCTGTTTGCATCCACCAAGTTCATGGTACTTTGTGATAGCAGCCCGAGCAAGGGAGTAGAGGAAGAGCAGAGAACAGGCCAATGAGAGCTGTTGTTCAGGGGAACCCACTGCAGGGCAAGTTCAAGCTGCCCCAAAAACCCCTTTGCCTGATATACTCACCTGCTCACTGCTAGGAACTCCCTGATGATGAGGCTGCCTGGGTCTCACTGCTCCCGCTTTCTCACTGGGGGCTGCCTGGGAGCACCTGGGGGATCAGAACCCACGGCTTTAAACAGAGAGTATGAATTGTGAAACAAAAGAGATCCGCCTGACTTCTCTCCTGTCAAATACAGCTGGCACTACTGAGGAAGCCCGTGTTCCTATTTTCCATGCTTAATCCATTCTTTGGTTGGCTCCATGATACAGGACCCTCCAATTCTCCCTTTCAGGTTCTGAGGAACCAAAGGGCCCAACAAAAACAACCTTTCTCAGTCCTCACCCCAATCTTCCCCCTGAAATTGGACACCTATGGACACTAAACTCACATTTTTTTTTTT